AACCCAGGTTTCCCCCAGCCAGGCTGAATATCTCCTAACCACTGGTCTAAAGGTCATAAGGGAAGCCACCCCTTCCTACTCCCCACTCTGGCCATTGGGTGTGGAATTAGACATGCTCTGAGAACATCTTCCACCTTGAACCCTGCAGGCGAGAGGCAGGACAATGCCTAGTTTGAAGATCCCATTGGGGTTAGGTGTGAGATATGTGTCTATCTCACAAGGCTGTGTGCATGTTCACGGACAGTAACTCAGGCATCTAGGGTGCCTCCAGGGTTAGCTGGCAGCTGAGCAGGGCTTTTGAGGATCTTAGTGGTGTCTAAAAGGACTTAAGTGCCTAAGTCCAACTTTTATGGATCTGGGCCATAGTGTACAGAGCAGCAGAAGAGCCAATCCAATGCTCAACAACATGAAAGAGCGAGAAAGCCCACTTTTGTGAGGCATGCAAGTATTAGAAGTTTCCTATTCCCTCTTCTCCCTCTAATGCATCCATGCAGTAGAAGGTGGGTTCTAGCTTAGAGTGTGAGGGAGACATTCATTCTCGTGTAACATTTAAAGATTTAACATATGTACACAGCAGATTTTTCTAATGCTTACATCCAGTGAGATATAATTAACAGTGTTAGACAGACACTATGTAAATATATGTTCTTATTTTACTTACATAATTTAGCCTTCTAGCCAACTGGGGCCTTGTTTGAACAATACCGTACTGCTGATATGTGTGCAGTTTTATCTGGAGTGATTGATTCCTATTTTGTGTTATCTGTAGGATTCAGAAAAGCAGAGTGGAACTCCTAGTATGTGCACAAGTGTACCAATACATATAGCACATAGGGTTTTGAGATATGAGGCTATGGCTACACTGCGCACCTTACAATGGCACGGCTATGCCACTGCAGCTGCACCATTGTAAGGTGTGTTATGTAGCCGCTCTTTATCATTGGGAGAGAGCTCTCCCAGCAACAAAATAAAACCAACTCCAACGAGGGGAGGTAGCTTCATTGCCAGGAGCATGGCTCCCACCAACAAAGTGCTCGGCGCTTTTCATCCTTAAAACTTTTGTCATTCAGGGGGTGTTTTTTCACACTGCTGAGCAACAAAAGTTTTAACGGTTAAAGTGCCAGTGTAGACAAAGCCTAAGACTAAACAGTCTGGGGTTACACTGGTATCATTTCAAAAAAATACATCTTGCTTTATTTGGCACAATGGTCCTAGACTCTCACAGACTGTTTGGCCAGCAGGCCCTCTGGTTAGAAAGCAGTCCTGTATTAAAGAATGTGGGTAATGCAGTCCTGCTCAGGCCAGCCATGCAACTATTAGAACCAATGTTCACCAAAGGCTACATGAAAACATAAAACATTCAGAAAAACTTTGTCTTCCACCAGGGCCAGTGTGCTTCTCTCCATGTGTCAGTATATAATGCCTGCATCTGTAACTTTCACTCTATGCATCTGAAGAAGTGAGGTTTTTACCCATGAAAGTTTATGCCCTAATAAATCTGTTAGTCTTTAAGGTGCCACCAGACTCCTTGTTGTTTGTGCTGAAATAAGAGGGTGTTTGTCCGTGGGTGGTTATAATTCTCTTGAAGTCTTGCTGGAAGGAGAACAGCAACACAGGTATCATGAACATACTCAGCACATCCTTCTTTAAATTTATATCTTTAGTGGACCAATTTCTACTTTCAATTACTCTAAATTTATAGTGGAGTAACTCCATCAATTTCAATAGAATTAGTTTAGGTTTAAATTTTAAGTGAGAGCAAACTTTGACCCAGTAACTTTTAGAATACCGAATCTTGGACTAGTTACGTAAAATACATGCTTGACTGGGATTACATTTAAAATAAATGTACACTTAGGGGAGCTTTTTATATTTTAAGAGATTGGTACTTTAAAAAAAAAAAGCATCCAACTCCTTATTCAACTTTTAAAAGTGACAGTAACTTCTATTACTCTTTCAATTGAAGGGCAATTTCAATTATGTTTGCTATGAAAGTGTGATTAATTAATCTGAGATATTACTGATTTAAAACAAAAATCAAGCCATTATTGGAAGTCAAAAAACCCACCATGTTAATGAACATTAATAATTATGTTTCAGCCACAAGCAAGTCAAGGAATTAGAAATGATACTTCTTCATATAGCAAATTGGATATGGCTATATTCTATTAAAAATACTGAGATTAAACTGGAACACCAGAACCTCTGAATTATGGGGAAATTGGGATCTGGATCAGAACTTTGTGGCTCAGGCCCATCTCTAGCACATGTAGCTGAATCACATTCAGTGGTTAGTATGGCGCTTTTTGTCAGTCATCTTCCACTTACCCTGGGGCAATCCACCTCCAACAGAAGAACCAAAGCAGTAACATTATGGAATGAAAAGGCCAATTTTTTGCTTATGTGGCCATTTCTTTGTGACCAAAACAGTTGTCCAGAAGTGACCATTTATCTCCTTTCTACAGTGCAATAATAACCTCTGCATTTAAACAGGTTTCAGAGTAGCAGCCGTGTTAGTCTGTATCCGCAAAAAGAACAGGAGTACTTGTGGCACCTTAGAGACTAACAAATTTATTAGAGCATAAGCTTTCGTGGACTACAGCCCACTTGATATGCATCTGAAGAAGTGGGCTGTAGTCCACAAAAGCTTATGCTCTAATAAATTTGTTAGTCTCTAAGGTGCCACAAGTACTCCTGTTCTCTCTGCATTTAGTAACTCATCAGGAATCAAGTGAATAATCTAAAGTGAAGATTAATAAAATGAAGATATTGAGGGTGAACCTCAAAAAGTTGGCTCAGTATAGAGAGCATTCAAGAGCATGGCTGGTTAAACAAACTACTTGAGTTTGCAAAGCTGGGCTGGAAGTCACATAAGCACAGGTCTTTGTGTGAGATAACTAGCACTTCCCATTTCTGGACAGGTAGCCAATATTGTGAAGAGAACCGCTCCCAGTACAATTGTCATATCTCTGGATGTGGTTGCAGCAGGAACTATGGAGTGAAGCAGTAACAAACCCATCCCCCAAAATCTTTGCAGTTTAAAACAGTTGGTTTTCATTTTGGGGAAATGATCAGGTAGGTTCTTGCTTTGGATAACGGTATGAACATATATACTTCAAATACACCTTAATTATGGAGCTTCATTCTGTTGTGTGCACACCACCAAAAGCAAAAGACAAAAGCAAAAGACAAACAAATAATAATAAAAAAAGAAAATCCCTGAGAGCTGGTCAAAAGTTTTCAGACAAAACATTTTTCCCCTTGTCAGCAAACACTATTTTGTCAAAGGTCAAAACTTTCTGCAGGAATGTCACTGTCAATACAATTTTGTTTCAAAAATAAAATCAATGAAGCATTTCAATAATCACAAAATATTTCTTTCTAGCATTTTCAGAACACTATTTAGATTTTTCATTTTCAAACTCACTTATGTTTTGAAATGTATTTTGTTTTACATTAAACAATTTTAAACCTTAAAGTCAAAATCAAAACAAAATATTTCTGGTGACAAAAATTTAGAATTTTAAATCGTGTGGGAAATCTCAAGATTTAATTTCATTCTGATTCCAGATGGAAACAAAGTTTGAAATGGGAATATCCCACAAAAACAGAAATCCCAATTCCTTCACAGGTCTAAGTATCCTGGTTTCTCCCCACCTCACTCCACCCTCCCCCATCTTCTTCCTGAACTGACATTTTGTTACATGCTACATTCCAGGGGCAAAGTATCATGAAATTGAGATTTCCTTCTTTCCACCTGTACTATCCATCCTCCCCAGCTACCCAATTGGTCACTGTCTCCCACACTCAGAAGCCTCCTTTGTCAGTTTCCTTTTTCCAGTGGAATGTAGCTGTCAGGAAGATCATTGTTCAAGAAGGAGATGTGATCTCAGGTAGGTTGAGCCCATCACAGGAGTATTTTGAATATCCTCTGAGATCTTTAAAGTGCTGGACTGACAGTCATGCAGACTGAAGTCCTCTCAGGGAACAGATACAGCACAAGCAGCAGGAGTACTACCTCCCCTCTTTGTTCCCCAACTGCCCACTAGTGTCTCAATCCTGATTTGGAGGGACCACCATTAGATTCAGGAAGGTAGCTCACTCTTCCTATCTTTTTAGTCCTTGACCTCCTGAGGACAAGGATGACATTAATGCTGATGGTTTTTGTGAGGCAGAAACTTGTTCACAGGGAACTGATTTGACACCATCCAACCAACCGTGGCTCCTTTTCCTGCTGGACTTCTGCATTATTTTTCCTTCAGCTATTTACTTTCACTCTTTAATTTCTTGAAGCCTCACACATTTTCTCTCCTCTCCGCCACCTCAAGTAGTTTTCTGAACAGGAGAAAGTACTTGGTCTTGTTTCTTACCGCACCTTTCCAGCCGTGACACTTTCTTGCTTTTGAATACAGGAGCTGATCGCAGGCAAGGAGTAACGAATGGTAGCAAAATTATTATCTTTCTTATTCTTTTCTCTTCACGCTTGACACGTTTGTTTCTGCTGGCTTGTGACATTTCCCCTCTGTCGTTGTAGAAATCTGCTTGCTGTAGTAAAAACTGCAGCACAGATAAGACTGCGCAGTACCTGTGTTTTGTTCCTCAGATCTCAGCAGCCACAATATTCTTTCCTTCACGCTAGACTTGCATAGCCCTGCTGTGCTGCCTGTTTGTGGTCACCTGCCACCTAAAGACACCCACGCCCAACCACACACCTGTAGTTGCTTTCTAGTCACTTTAGGCATTAGCCCCCTGCAGACACAGGAGAATTCCCGGGGCTAAAGAGCGTACACGAGACAGGCTGTTATCAGTCAAAGGTCACCGGCTAGCAGGCTTGGAAGGACTACGCAGCTGACCACGTTTAAGGGGATGCTTCCGTGCACGCTGCTGCTGCCAGGAGCTGTCCTAAGCAGCCACAATAGCCAGCCACCCTCTTCTGCTTGTGCACCTGCCTGACCAGCCAGCGCCTGCGAGGGGGGTGGGAAAGAACGTTCCCCGGATCCGCCTCCCCTCTGAAGTCACCAGCTCCCGGCTGCAGGGGGAGGGGGAGGGAGCATGTAGAGGCCAGGGCTCTGCTTAAGCTGGAGGGAGGGGGAAGACAAGGCAGAGAAGGAGCTGAGTGAGAGCGCGGAGCGAGCTGCGGGCGGCAGGGAGCTGGATACCCTGGACAGCGCATTGCTTCTCTCGCCCTCCACAGCGCCCGCCTGGCCACCGCACCCCTCTCGTCCGCACCATGGTGAGTGAAGGGGCCAGCCCCGCGGCGCTTGGCGAGCCGATGGAGCCCAAAAAGCGGCTGGGAAGGAGGGAGCGGGGCAACCTCGGCAGCTCCCGGCCGCCGCCGCGCTGTGCTCGCTCCCTCCCATTGTGCGGGCAGGGAAGGGCTGGGGGCGCACCCGGCTGCAGCGGGACCCGCTCAGTCCGCGCAGGCAGCGGCTCCCCCCCCCCCACCTCCTGGCGCACCCACACCTGGTCCGGCCACTCCGGCCCGTGCCCGCAGCCACTGGCCACACAGAGACCCCCCCGCGGCGCGCTCCTCTCCCCGCACGCCCAGCTGGCAAGTGGCCAGGAGCGCGGGGAACAAAAGGAAATGGCTGGTGTGTGTCTGCAGAGGGGGCACGTGGGGGAATCGGACTACACCCCCACCCGAGCTGGCAATGTGCAATTCACACGACCCACGACATGGAGCCTTTCCAGGCTGGGCAATGCGCCCCCAGCCCCTGCCCAGCTCCCCCTCACGGACTTGCCCCGGGGCCCCTGCACGAAGCAGCCCGGCGTTGGTCCCCTGCGATGGAAGCCTCCCCTGTGGAGAGGCGGTTAAACCCTACGGCCTTGATCCACCGCGCCACTGGCACAAAACGATCCTAAAGCCGGCTTAGCCCTGCCGGATTGCCCCCAGGGGAGAGGATTGCGCGGGTGGGGCAGAGCTCCTGTGGCACCCCTAGTCCCTTCCTGGGGCGCATTCAGGAAGGATGGCCAGGGGAAGGGGTGCGTGGCTGGGGTATCCCTATAGTTCAGCAACCGCATAAATGGGGTCTGAGGGAGAGTAAAGGACATTTTAAATACTCTTTCTTCTCCCTCCTACCCGCACCCCCTCCAAAATAAGATCCCGGATCGGATCAGATCAACTCCAAACTGAGGAAGTTTATATCTGAATTTGGGATCTGAGTTCATCTTAAAATTGAATCAATTCATTGTACGAGTTAAGTTCCTGGAGCACTTAATGTCTTCATTTCATGTGTAGCTTGCTCTAGCCATCCCAATATCCACACCACTTGAAGGGTTTGAGGATTTATGTTTCCTGATCTTCATTAGTGGGATGGGATTCAGAAGACCTGGGTTTAATTCATGGGTCTGCAACTGACCTATTATTAGGTGACCATGGAGCAGTCAAGTCCCTCCCCCTGCCTTGGTTTCCCCAGTGGTTAAATGAGGATAATTGACCTCTTTTTAAAACTTCCTTGAGATCTAAAACTGAAGAGTGCTGTAGAAAACTTGGCATTAGTATTAGGGTTATTTATATAATGTGACTGTCTCCAATTAAGTGTCACAGAGCATTTTAGTTTGTATTTAAACTAGTTTAGATTGAATCTAGAATGCCAACTTGCTTTTATGGTTTATCTGAGCAGAAAATGAAAGGCCAGTAAATGTGCCTCATGAGTATCGCAGGGTGTGATTTCAGAAGGAGAAACAAAATGAGAGGGAAGACTCAGGCCATGTCTACACTACAAACTTATGTTGACCTATCTTACATCAGCATACAGCCACAGCAGTTATTAAATTGTTTTTGTCAGCAGTGAGTGTCCTTACCAGGAGTGCTTGTATCAATTGTATTGTCAGTATGGGGCATATTGGGATAGGTCCAGAAAGCCAGTAACAGTCTGTGTAAGCAATGCAGTGTCCACACTGTCATTGTGTCCACCTCATTACATCACCCTTGACTCTACACCACTCAGGGAGGTGGTATTACTAGATGAGCATAGTGAGGCACTTATATCAGCAGGAGCCAAATTTAAGTGAAGACACTTTCACCATTAGGTTGAGACAAGATAGCTTACATCAATCTAACCGTGTAATGTAGACCAGGCCTTAGTCACAATGCCAGTACATGGTCGTAGGTTTGCATTTAGTTAAAGCCTCAGAGCTGCCCCAATAGAAAGTCATACGTTAATTTAGGGGAGGAAATCTTCTACCTCAAGGACATTTGGTTAGCTTTTCTCCTGTGACACCTATAAGGCCTAGATTGACAGGAAAGAAAGCTCAGCTTCCCAAAAGTTCTAACAAAGTTCCTGAATTGTATTAAAGTGAAAGTATTAAAGTATTTTGGACCTGCATTACCTTTGACTGAGAGTCTGTCAAGTGTGTATTAGTGTTAGAGATTCTATTGTTTGAATATTGCAAAGAATTTGCTGCCACAGTCCTTTATGAAAAAGGAAAGGGACTCGTTTTATACATAAAGGTTAATAAAATGCATAGCTTCAATTCCAGTTATATGGATTTCACAGGGTTCACTCTAAAGAAACACAGCAATATAAAAACCTATTAATCTGATTTTACAAAATTTCTTAAACCGAAAACCTCAGTTTCTACTAATTCCATCTTGAAATTGAGTCCTTAATTCTGCATATTCTTTATTTCCAAGTATTCAGACTAATGTGCACACATTGATTATTCATGAAGGTATGTTAATACATATTTCTGCATTAATCATGCATAAATAGTTTTTAGGGGAACAATTTTTTCATGAATATAAACAGAATAATTTTAACACTCACTTTTGGGATGCAAGAGTGTAAACTACAAAGTGAAGCAATTCTTGTACCCACACTGCAACTGTGAGGATATTCTTATATTACTACTTTGCATGCATATAGTATATTCTTCAGAGGAATCCAAAGCACTTTAACAACAGTAATGAGTTCAGCCCACAGTAGCCCTGTGAGTTAGGGCACTATGATCCATTTTACAAATGAGAAGAGTGAGTGACAGGGAAGTTCAGTAGCTTGTCAAAGGTCCCATTACAAATTTGTGGCATGGTTCAGAAGAGAACCCAGTCATGTGCTTTATCAAAAAGACTGTTCTTCCTCTTCAATGGTATGCATGTTATCTGATAAAAAGCCATCTTACATGCATAAAAATAGTTTGAAAGCAGATGTTTCAGCCATATGTGAGGTCCGGAGAGAGCCACCACTTTTGAAGGTGTCTAGGCCATTGAAATGAGCAAGTTAAAGAAGAACTAACTTGGTTCTCCCTTTGAAGGGTTCATATATCCACATGTTGTGTCTTTAAAAATGGTGCCCAAGTGATCCTTTGTGAGTCTTGTTTAAGTTGACCACTTAAGGGCCTGACTGTACCTGACTCAGACCTAGGAAGGTAGGAGGGAAACACATGCTACACTCACTGAATGGGTGATAGAGACGGTGCTGTAGTGTATACTGCTTGGGAGCTGCAGGAGGAATTCCAATTGCAGTACTTACAATAGTGAAGAGCATGGCTTAAAAGCCACAGTCCTGCCACAAATGATTAACCCTTTTCCAAGAAAGCTTTTTAAAAGATATTAGGTCTGATCCTGCTCCCATAGAAGCCAATGGGAATTTTGTCTTAGTCTTTAACAGAAGTAGCATCAGATCCAACATCTGCTGTATGTTTAGACACAGATGCATATGCTGCATTCAAAAAGTGGGCCTGATTCACCATACCGTTACTCCAGTTTTGCTGCAGTAACAGTTGAAATCAGCTCCGGTGAAGTAGCATTGTGCCCACAAGACATATTTGCACATGAAAATGATTATGTACATGGGTGGATATATTTTGCAGTGTCGCCTATGTATAATGAATATGAAATGGAACAGTTTCATTTTTCTTATATTACCCATATGAATTCTTTGGATAAGCTCTTTAGTAAAAGCCAATCTACAATCAAAGATTGACACAAGATCATTGCATTTCTTCTGCATTGTAGGGATATGGGTGATAATATCTCAAGGACGAGGAATATTTGCCCTCCATACTTGTAGAGTATGTAGACAATAGAATCAATAACATAAGTCCCTGTAGTTGTGCAGAACAAAATTAAGCCAGTTCCAAATCTTAGTAATGCATTACTTAGAATACAGTGATGATGATTGCAAGTGAGCCTTGTGTCCCAAAGAATACTGTGCAGCATGTAGTGATGAAAGTATGAAGGTAATGATGTACAATACAATTAATAGCCAGGTGTGCAGAACTAGTAAATCAGGTCACAGAACTCCCACTGAGATTTTCTTGATAATCAAAATTAAACAGCTGTCTGAACCTGTCAAAATGCTTCATTTTTTTCCCCTCATTTGAGAGCTGATTTCAGATCAATCACATTGGTATAAAAGTTACTCCATTTACATCAGAGCAGTTACTTTGGATTTCCATTAATCTAATTAATATCAGAGAGTGATCCTGAAACTCATTTCTGGTTCACACAGTGGTTAAATTAACCTCTGAGTAAAAATGAATGGGTCTTTGGATGTCTGTCATCAATATACAGAAGGCCAAGCTCTGAGTCACATGTGGGTTTGGTATGTTTCTGTAAGCAAATTTTATCTATTCTTCTGCATCTGTAAGGAGGTGTTCCATTTTCATTTCTTGTCACGGAGCTACTTGCATTGCAAACAGGGCCGGCTCCAGCATTTCTGCCGCCCGAAGCAAAAAAAAAAAAAAAAAAAAGGGCTGCCAGTGACAGTTCAGCGGCAGGTCCTTCGCTCCTAGA